TCGGGAATCCCAACCCGAGTTACCCCGGACCCGAGTTACCCCGGATAACTCGGGCGCCCAACATCTCGGGCCCCACCGCCAGCCCACGCGGCGGGCTCCAAGCAGGGGCGCAGCCCCGCAGAAACTGCCAGGGCGTGGGGGGGGAGCGCGCCGCCCACGGGGCGCTCCACGGGGTGCGCGGCTGCGCCGGGCCCGCCGCCGCAGCGAGAGCGGGCGCGGCGCAGCCGGGCCCCTTGTCCACGAGGGCGGCGAGTCCCAGGGTGCGGGCCTGTGGCAGCGGTGGCTTGCTTGCGCTTTCCCTGGCGTCGTGGCTGTAGAGGCCGCGAGTAGTGGGCCGTCCAGGTTTTATTTGGCTGGCTTCGACCGGGAAGCGATTTTGGCGCCGCTCCGTCAGCTCATTTTTTTTGCTATGTCAGAGTGGCAGGGTGTCCTGGGGTGCGTCCGAGCGTCGGCCAGGGCCCCCTGGGCTGGCTTTGGGGCGGTCGTTTCGATTATCGCCTCCTCCTCCTCCTCCTCCTCCACCTCCTCCTCCTCCTCCTCCTCCTCCTCCTCCTCCTCTTCCTCCTCCTCCTCCTCCTCCTCCTCCTCCTCCTCCTCCTGACAGTCTTCCCCAGGCCATAAGTCGCGGCCCCTGCAGTCGTGGCCCGAGGAGGGAGCCACCGCGGCCGGGGCCAAGCTTCTAGTTCCTCTTCGCGCTCGGGCGGCCGGGGCCCAGGTCGACGCGGTCGATGCGAGTCGACGTCGACTCCAGGGCTGGACCTGCATGCTGCTCTGCCGGATTTCGGCTGTGCTTTGTTTTTTCGATTTGGCAGGGAGGTGCAGGAAAACAAAACGGGTAGAGCAGACCGAAAAACATAACGAAAACAAAACGAATAGCAGCTTCTAGGTCCAGCCCTGGTCGAGTCCACCCGGGCCCCTCCGACTCGGTGCCGACGTTCCGACGATCCGATGCGGCCCGACGCGAAGCGTGCCAGGCAAGGCCTCGCCTTCGAGGGTCGAAGGGCTCGGTATAGCTCTTCGCCGGCAGAGGGCGGCGGAAGCCGGGGGCGGAAGTGCAGCGAGGGCGGCTCTCCGCCAGCGAAGGGTCAGAGCCCCGAATCATCAGGGGTAACTCGGGTCAGGGCTAACTCGGGTTCCTTTTTCGGGAATCCAAACCCGAGTTACCCCGGACCCGAGTTACCCCGGATAACTCGGGCGTCCAGAGCCCCGCATCATCAGGGGTAACTCGGGTCAGGGATAACTCGGGTTCCTTTTTCGGGAATCCAAACCCGACTTACCCCGGACCCGAGTTACCCCGGATAACTCGGGCGCCCAAAAGGGGCGGCGGGAGGTGGCGGCGGAGGGCGGCGGAAGTACAGTCAACGCGCCTAGTAAGGACGCGCGCCTTCATCCAGGGTGCCCTTGCGCCCTTGCCTCTGCGGCCCGTCCCATGCCGTTTTCACTGCTCGCCCGCCGCCCAAAAAGAATCCCAACTTCGGCCTCCAAGGGTCCTTGCGTCCTTACCATCCGTCCTCAATACACGTTTTGATTGTAAGCCATGCGCCCCCAAGAGATTGGAAGACTTCTGGGTTCCAGGATTCCGGAGCCGGGCACGCTGGCAGAACCTGGGGGAACGAACAATGACATACACATACACATAACAGAACCTGGGGCGGAAGTGCAGCGAGGGCGGCTCTCCGCCAGCGAAGGGGCGGCGGGAGGTGTAGCGGCGGAGGGCGGCGGAAGTACAGTCAACGCGCCTAGTAAGGACGCGCGCCTTCATCCAGGGTGCCCTTGCGCCCTTGCCTCTGCGGCCCGTCCCATGCCGTTTTCACTGCTCGCCCGCCGCCCAAAAAGATCCCAACTTCGGCCTCCAAGGGTCCTTGCGTCCCTACCACCCGTCCTTAATACACGTTTTGATTGTAAGCCATGCGCCCCCGAGAGATTGGAAGGCTTCTGGGTTCCAGGATGCCGGAGCCGGGCACGTTGGCAGAACCTGGGGGGACGAACAATGGCATACACATAACATGAACATTCGAAGTTCCGCGCGGATTTCTCCGATCGGCGCTGGGCGGGTCCTCCGACCTCCGAGTTTTCATATTTATATCATCTTTCGGTTCCCTAACATCGGCATAACGCGTTGTCGTGCGTCTTGGTGCAGCTGTTGCAGCACCATGCAAGCATGGGGCCGGAAGCGAACTCCAATCGGATCGGCTGCAAGGGGCCGCATCGAACTCCGATTGGAGTTCCATTCTTGCATGGTGCTGTTGGGCAGAATGCCCAACAGCAGTGCTGTTGAGCATTCTGCCGCGACCGATTCGATACGATGGCGGCTCCGAGTCGATGCGGCCGGATCACACGCGCGTCCCGATCCGCTCCGGCCCGGCTTCGCGATCCGATGCGAACCGCCTCTGCCGAGCCTTCACGCCCGGGAGGCTGCTCTTAAATCTGAGATGGCTCGTCGGCTCCGCCCGATTCGATGTCGCTGATTTGATGCGTCTTGGCTTCATCTCATGTGATCGTTCTCATATTCATCGTTGTGCCGATCGGCGCGGGCTCTCGCCCCTCCCCCTCCCCCCATGCTGGAGTAGATTTTGCGAGTTTTCGGGGTCTGTCTCGAACAGGTGGAGTCTCCCCCACAGGACGCACTGCTGCAGACAGTCGCACTGAGCAGAGGTCCAGAGCCAGACCCCCCCCTCGCCCCCTCCCCTGTCCGCCCAATGTCGAAACGCCGAGTAAGAAAACGTCCACCAGCTCCCTCCACGGCACAGCCCTGGGAGGCGCTGGGCGTGGCGCGCGGCGGCGCCGCCCCATGGGGAGAACTCCACCTGCTCGAAACAGGCGCCAAAAAACAGCCAGGCTCTACTCCATGGGGGGGGGGCAGAAGGGGGGGACGAGGGCCCGGACCGATCGGGGGAGACTCCGCCTGCTCGAGACAGAGAGACAGCCGCGATCTACTCCATGCGGGGGGGGGGGGAGGGGGCGGGGGGGGGCCGAGTGCCCGCGCCGCTTGGCAGAACGAGGAGTAAGAGAGCGTCCACCAGCGCCCTCCACGCAGAGCAGCCCCGGGGAGGCGCTGGGCGTGGCGCGCGGCGGCGCCGCCGGCGCCGCCGGCGCCGCGGGGGCCCCGGAGGCCAGCTCGCCCGGCGGGCGCGGCCGGGGCCGAGGCCGACCGCACGCCGCGAGAGCAGAAGGGGGGCCCTGGTCGGGGACTGCGGCAGGGGGTCAGAGGGCCTCATGGGCCTCCCAGCTGGGGTCAGAGCCTCCTCCTCCTCCTCCTCCTCCTCCTCCTCCTCCTCCTCCTCCTCCTCCTCCTCGTCCTCGTCGTCCTCCTCCTCCTCCACCCTCTCCTCCTCCTCCTCCTCCTCCTCCTCCTCCTCCTCCTCCTACTCCTCCTCCTCCTCCTCCTCCTCCTCCTCCTCCTCCTCCTCCTCCTCCTCCTCCCTCCTCCTCCTCCCTCCTCCTCCTCCTCCTCCTCCACGTCGGGGGATCGCGCCGCATCGCCGATGCATCGCCGATGCGGCTCGATGTGGAGCCCGACTTGCTTCACGTCGACGTCACCGATGCATCGCCCACGTCGGCGATGCATCGCCGATACATCGCCGATGTATCGGCGACGCGGCGCGATCCTCCGACCCCATCTACTCGCACCCCATCTAGGAGGCCTCGAGAGCCCTGGGTTGCCAGCGTGGGGGCGGTCTTGGGCCGCTCAGGCCTCGTGCCTCCCGCATTTGCGCCGTAGAGATCCCCCCCTGGATTGCACTCATCCCGAGCTCTCGCTGATCACATCCTCTGCCCAGGGGGACTCTCCTGAAGCAGGAGTTGTCCTGGGTTCTCTGCGGTTTCCCAGGCTCGTGTTACTTTACAGCAGCTGGAGCTCGTCGGGAGCGTTCCAGGGGTGCCCGGATCGTCCCGAACGGCCTCCGGAGAGCCGAGGTGTGGCCTGAAAGCCAGGAGGGGCCGACAGGAAGGGATGGGCCCAAGCATCGATCCCCACCCCGCCCAGGAAGGCTCCGTTTCGCCATCGGGGGCCTATCGCCGATCCATCGGCGCTGCATCGTCGATTCACCGTCGACGTTTCCCTTGCTGCGCCGTGCAGTAAGCCCCTTGTCGCTCCGAGCGGTTCCTGGAGAGTTGTTTCCAGCTGTCGAGGTCCGTGGGGACCCTCCACGGGCCCCGGGTCCGTCGGAGATCAGCTCGGGATGAAGAGCTGGCCCTGGGGCAAGCCTGGGGCCCAGGAGCCCAGCAAATCAACCTTCTCCTCCTCCTCCTCCTCCTCCTCCTCCTCCTCCGCCTCCTCCTCTTCCTCCTCCTCCTCCTCCTCCTCCTCCCCCTCCTCCTGCTCCTCCTCCTCCTCCTTCTCCTCCTCCTCCCCCCTTTCTTCCTCCTCCTCCTCCTCCTCCTCCTCCTCTCACTCCTCCTCCTCCTCCTCTCCTCCTCCTCCTCCTCCTCCTCCTCCTCCTCCTCCTCCTCCTCCTCCTATCCTGGTACCCCCCTGTGCGCGCCGCCAAGGAGGGCTCCGCACAAGCCCCTCGAGCCCCCTCGACACATCGACCTTCTCAGCAAATTGCACGCAAGGGCGGCCTCTCGCTGGAGTGACCTTTGGAGGTGGGTCCGCCAGGGGGCCCCAGTCGTGCGCTTGGCACCCTTTTTTGTTATCCCGAGTGGTTTCCTGACGGTCCCGGGGCCTGGTGAGAGACCCACAGAGTCCCAAAATTCAAGCAGTGGCGAAGCGTCCTGGCTTGCCTATAGGCCCACCAAGTAGTGTTCTAAGAACCTTTCGTGGTTTCTACGACATGGTCTTAGAACATTTCGGGCGGGGACGGTCTTGTTTGAACACATCGGGCTTATGTTCAATGAGCAGTGCCTTTGTTCGTATAACAGCTCTGTGTTCTAAGAGCATGTCGTGGTAGGCCCATAGGAATACCAGGACGGTCGGTCCTTGCTCAAAAACGGTCTAACACGAGTCCCGTTTTGAGTTGTTCCAGACTTTGGATGCCTGGTTCCCGCCAGGAGAAAGCATGTGGGCGGAAGACGTATCCGCATCCACGGGCCCGTGGATACGGATACGTGTTTGCGCGGATGCCCGCGCGCGGAGCGCGTCCACGCGACCGCGCAGCCACGGGGCCCGCGCCCGGGCGTCTGCACCGCGATGGCGTGGACACAGAGATGCTTTCGCCGCTCGTGGAGAGCCGCGCGCCAAAGCTCGCTTCTCTGCCCCTCTTGGGCCGCTCTTGCGTGTCAGCCGGGCGAGGGCGCGGCGGCGGGCGCGGGCGCAAGCGCGCGAGGGCGGACGGCGGCGAGGATCGGAGGGGTCCGCGGGGGTACTTGTCACTCTGCAGCTTCGGGTCGGGGGTCGGGGAAATGTAAGACTCGAGTTCGCCGGAACTGGGATTTGACCGTGCTTCTTGACGGGTTCGTCCTGGATTCTGACGGTCCAGTTGTCGTGGGATGTTTGCAGCAGGAGCTCGCGCGATGTTTCAGACTGGGCCTCGTCATTTTCGTGACGGCCCCACGAGGCCAACCCATGTCCCTCGAACCCGAGGCTCACGTGTCCTTGGTTGGGGGTCATTGTCTGTCCTGTGAACTGGTGTCTTCTCTTGTATCGGGCGCGGGTACGACGCGGATTTGTTGCAGATCCGACGCGGCCTCGACGCGGAATCGACATGGATCCGACGTTCGACGTGGATTCCACGCGGGTTCGACGCGGGCAACGGCGCGACAGGACAGACAAGGGCCCCCCAAAACGAAACATAACAGCTAGATCTCCGCCTGTCTCTCCGGAGTTGCATGATGTTATCGAGCGCACCGGTTCTCAGCTTTCCCATCTCCGAACACAAGACGGGAGGTCTGGGGGCACTTGTCTGCCTCCCGGGGCACTCACTGGTCCCCAGGGACCGTTAAATAGCGATTCGGGATGAAGCGTCTGTCCCAGGGAGGAGGTCCAGACCTCTAGAGAACCACGTCGTGCAGACATCAAGGGGACGAGTGACTGGGTCCTTCCTTTGGTGCGATCGGAATTGGTTCCGAAAGGGCGGGGACGAATACCGACAACAGTCCTTGCCACTTCTTAGCAGGGATCGCTGTCGGTGCTGCGCGGACGTTGTCCGCTTAGGAACACTTGCAACCCTCGAGCTTGGCCCTACCCATGAGCTCGACAGGTCTGAAGGCAATGACGATCCTGGGGGCGCGCCCTCAGACAAGGAGGGAGCTCTGCAGCTGCGCATCGGGGCAAGGCGATGTCAGTCATTGGGGTAGGCACCTGCTTCCCGCGGGTAAACACAAGCCGCCTGGCCCAGCAGCGACCGCTGGTAGTTCTGGACAGCATATGTGGCGCTCCAAAAACAGCCTTGCCTTTGAGGATCGAGGGAGTTGTCGTCTCTTCCGCGGCGGAAGGCGGCGGAAGGTCGGCGGAAGAAGAGCGAGGCCGCCTCCGCCGGCGGAAGCTCGGCGGTAGGCGGCGGAAGTACAACCTGCGCCCCCAAGAAATGGGAACAGTTTTGGGTACAGGATTTCCGAGATCGCCCATCTGCTGTTGGGTGTCGTCTCAGTGTTTCTCTGCTCCTGGCTCGGGCGTGCCCAGAGGAGACGCCGCCGGCCAGCGCCGCCGCCGGCCTTGCAGCGGGAGGCGACGGCGGCCAGGAGTCGCGCGCGGGGAAGGCGGTCGGCCAGGAGGGGGAAAACACACAGACACAATTAATCGACGACTCCCAGGAGCACATGGGGAACTAGGTGAAGTGGGGGGGGAAGACGAAAGTCAACTGACGAATGGCCCAACCATATGCAGCTGCGAGTACCACGAGAGAGTTGAGACGGAGGAGTGGTGCCCGCGGTGCCCCTGCCATTGGGACCCTGCGTGGGGCTGCCTATGGGGCCACGAACCGTGTGAGGGGTGTGCCGAAGTGAGTCGCGGGGACGCATGCAAACCCTGCCACTGGGGCCTGCGGTGGAGATCCCTATGCAGCCACGAACCGTGTGAGGGGTGTGCCGAAATGAGTCGCGGGGACGCATGTAAGCCCTGCCACTGGGGCCTTCGGTGGACCTATGGAGCCACGAACCATGTGAGGGGTGTGCCGAAATGGATGGCACGGACGCGTGGGATGATGATGATGATGATGATGATGATGATGATGATGATGATGATGATGATGATGATGATGATGATGATGATGATGATGATGATGATGATGATGATGATGATGATGATGAGGAGGAGGAGGAGGAGGAGGAGGAGGAGGAGGAGGAGGAGGAGGCTGCTGCTGCTGCTGCTGCTGCTGCTGCTGCTGCTGATGGTGACAGCGGGGCCCGAAGCCCACTTGAAAGCCCAATGCTCGTGGCGCTGCCTGGCTGGGCGAGCGTTGAAGGTTACTTTTGAGTCGGGCATGTCGCCCTGCAGCAGGAATATTAAATTAGCCTGGCGACGGACCGAACCATCTGTAGTTGTGAGTGCCGTAATTGGGAGTATCGTCTTCGGTGAAGCTCCCAATAGGGCGACGAAACATATGAGAAGTGGGTGTGCAACTGCATGCCAACCCTGCAGCTGGGGCCTTCGGTGGATCTCCCTATGGGGCCGCGAACCGTATGCAAGGTGTGCCGAAATGGTGGGTGGAACTGCATGCGAACTTTCCCACTGGAGTGGGGACTTCGGTGGAGCCCCCTATGGGGCCACGAACCGCGTGAGTGGTGCGCCGAAATGGAGGGTGGAACGGCATGCGAACTTTCCCACTGGGGCCTTAGGTAGAGCTCCCTATGGGGACACGAACCGTTTGAGGGGTGTGCCGAAATGGTGGGTGGAATTGCACGTGAATTTTCCCATTGGGGCCTTCGGTGGAGCTCCCTATGGGGCCACGAACCGTGTGAAGTGTGTGCCAATATGAGTCGCGGGGATGCATGTAAGCCTTGCCACTGGGGCCTTCGGTGGAGCTCCCTTTAGTGCCACGAACCGTGTGAGGGGTGTGCCGAAATGGAGGGTGGAACTGCATGCGGACTTTCCCACAGGGGCCTGCGGTGGGGCTCCCTGCAGTCGGGGCGCTGAAGAAGGAACCCTTTTCGTTGGGGAGGGGCTCGGTGTTCCTTGATTGTTTAACAGTTTGCCTCAGGTCTTCCTGAGGTTTTCCATGGGACATCGATTTTTAACTTATGAGAAAAAAGGGGCCTCGCTCCTTATTCAGGGTTCCTTAGGTCAACGCTCCGACTGTATGGGGCCACGAACCATGTTGGGGATGCGCCGAAATGGAGGTGGAACTGCATGCGAACTTTCCCACTGGGGCCTGCGGTGGGGCTCCCTATGGGGCCACGAACCGTGTGAGGGGTGTGCCCATATGAGTCGCGGGGACGCATGTAAACCTTGCTACTGGGGCCTTCGGTGGGGCTCCCTATAGGGCCGCGAACCGCGTGAGGGGTGTGCCGAAATGGTGGGTGGAACTGCATGCGGACTTTCCCACTGGAGCCTGCGGTGGGGCTCCCTGTGGGGCCACGAATCGTGTGAGGGGCACGCCGAAATGGGGGGGTTGGAACTGCATGCGAACTCTCCCACTGGGGCTTTCGGTGCGGCTCCCTACAGGACCACGAACCATGTGGGGGGTGCGCCGAAATGGGGGGTGGAACTGCATGCGAACTTTCGTACTGGGACCTTCGGTGGAGCTCCCTTTCGGGCCACGAACCGTGTGAGGAGTGCGCGTGGGTGGAACTGCATGCGAGCATTCCCACGGGCCTGCGGTGGGGCTCCCTATGGGGCCGCGAACCGCCTGAGGGGTGTGCCGAAATGGTGGGTGGAACTGCATGCGAACTTTCCCACTGGGGCCATCGGTGGAGCTCCCTAAGAGGCCACGAAACGTGTGAGGGGTACGGCGAAACAGGTACATGCGAAGAGCAGAGACGAGGAGGGGGGGAGGGAGGAGGGGGAGGAGGAGAGGAGAGGAGAGGAGAGGAGAGGAGAGGAGAGGAGAGGAGAGGAGAGGAGAGGAGAGGAGAGGAGAGGAGAGGAGAGGAGAGGAGAGGAGAGGAGACGCGGGGCGCTGTCTCTACAAAACGAGGACCCACCACCACAGGATGGTTGGGACAAATTTAATAGAAATCGCCAGCCCAACGGGCCAAAGGCGTGCTGAGATTTCCAGTAATTGGTTAACAATATGTCTAGTTCGCGCGCGCGCGGGGCCGCCCCTGGGGGTCCCTGGACGAAGAATACCCGGAAAGGTCCCGGCAAGGTCCCGGTAGGGTCCCGGGCATGTCCTCGGCAGGTCCCTGCAAGGTCTTGGGCAGGTCCCGGGCAGGTCCCAACAGGCTCCCATCAAGAGCGCTCAAGGAGCGCTTCAAATGGCCTCCAAGAGAGCTCAACAGGGTCCGAAACGGTCCAAGAGCGATCCAAGGCGCCAGAAATGGCCTCCAGACAGCCCACAGCGCCTTCAAGACGTTCCAAGAGGCCTCCAAGAGACCTCCCAAGAGGGCCCAGAGGCGGAAATCTGTGATTTTCAGTCTTAAAAGGATTTGGGCGTTCTCGCCTTTTCGGCTTGCGCTCCAAGACGGCCCAGGAGGCGTCCAGGATCGCCCCAACACGGCCCAAGAGGCCTCCAAGATGGCCGAAAAGGCTCCCAAGACGGCTCGAAGAGCGGGCCCAGACGAGGGACCCGAACGGACATTTCGAGCTCCAGGTGCAGGAGGTGTCCCCTGGAGGCCCCAAGAGGCCCCCACGAAGCCCCCAAGAGGCCCCCGAGAAGCCCCAAGAGACCCCCAAGAGGCCCCCGAGAGGCCCCCGTGACGCCCCAGGAGGTCCTAGAAATACCACCAAAGGCCCAAAAAGAGGCTCCAAGAGGCCACCACACGGCCTCCAAGAGGCCACGAACGCGCAGGCAAACGCCTGCGATGGCACAACACGGGCCGGCGGAGCGAGCGAAGCGATTGAATAATGCGGGAACGATGTTTCTAGTGTGTTTTGCTTGTTTTGCTTACTTTTTAATTACTTTTCATTTTGTTTCAAAATCCGCCTGTAGGAGGACACGCCCGACCGAAAGTTACATGCGGCGCGCTCGAGAGAGGGCTTCGCCTCCGGGGGGGGTCGAGGGGGGTGTGACGTCTCTCCCCCGGCGGGAGGCAGCGAGCTGGAGGACGCCGGCGGGAGTGGAACGGCGGAGGTCGGGAGCCTCGAGACGGGGGTCAGTGCAAACGGGGGTCAGCCAGAGCGCCCCGATCTTGCAGGATCCTGCAGGGCCAGGGTCGCATTGACCCAGGTTTGGGTGCAGGATCCTGCAGGATCCTGCAGGATCCTGCAGGATCCTTCGCATTGACCCGGGTTTGGGTGCAGGATTTTGCAGGATTTTGCAGGACTCTGCAAGGCCTGACTGACCCGGGTTTGGATTGACCCGGGTCAGCAGGTCCCCGAGGAGGGAGGCGGAAGGACCAATGAGAAGTCCCATCGGTTCCAGGATTCTACGGGCCGCCCCCTCTCCGAGCGGGGCCGTGCGCCATGTCTCTTCCGCGCGCCGTCTGTCAGTGCCGCCGGAGTCTCCAGCCCAGCCTCGACCACCCAGCACGAGAGCTATGATGATGTCGCGATCACCGAGGGCGGCCACGTCTTCGCCTGCGGCCGCGGGTTTCCCGTGGAAGGTTTCTTGTGGACTGGCCTCCAGTGTACGTTCGCTGCGCGTGGGACCTTTGCGGGTGGGGTGGGGGTGTTTTGGGGGGGGCGAGCGCGACGTCGGACGTTTGCAAAAGGAAGCGTTGTGGAGACACGGAGTGCAGGGAAAGTCGGATCGAGTGTGCCCAGAATCCGGATCGAGTGCCGGATGGAGTGTCTCCAGCATCCCCCCCCCAATGCGGCCCGATGCATCTGTGGCCAGGCACCTCGGGCGCGTCCGCACGTGCGTGCATATCCAGCGCGAGGCCTCCTCATGTTCCTCACGTGGATCCAACCACCAGCATTTTTGTAACAGTTTTTGTTCTTGGACGTGCTGTTTTTCCTTCGTTCCTAGACCATCTGTTTGCCGAGGGTGTGGTTTGACATGATCCTGAGCCTGCGGCCTCCACAGATGCTCCTCACGACGTGGATCCAACTACAAGCATCGTTGTACTAGGTTTTGTTCCTGGATGCTTTTGTTTCCTTAGTTCCTGGAGCATATGTTTGCAAAGCGTGTGTGTTGTCATGATCCTCGACGGTACAGGAATTGTCTAGGACCGCCGGCTACAGGTTCTTCCGTCCTGAAGGCGCATCGGGCGCAGTCCTGTGATAGAAAGGGAGTAAACCATCGCCTCCAGTAGATCGAGTGTCTCCATAATTCAGATGGAGTCTCGGATGGAGCCTCTGCAGAGTCCCCCCCAGTGCGGCCCGATGCATCTCTGGCGACAGGGGCTTTCTGTGGCCAAGCACCTCGGGCGTGTCCAGGGCATGGATCCAACCACCAGCACCTTCGTAACAGTTGTTTTTCCTAGATGGTTTTGTTTGTATATATCCAGCGGGCGGCTTCCCCATGTTCCTCACGACGTCGAAGCAACTTCCAGCATCTCTGTACCAGTTTTTGTTTCTGGATGCTGCTTGTTCCTTTAGTTCTTGGACCATCTGTTTGCCGAGCGTGTGGTTTGTTGTTCTCCTGAGCGGCTCAGGAGTTGTCTAGGACCGCCGGCCACAGCTTTTTGCTGGACTGCCCATGGGGCGCGGCAACAGGGCCCTACCCGTTTCAGGCCTATCCTGGATACCTCGGTTGCCCAAGCAGAGTTGGGGGATTCCGCAGGGCAGGGGGTTCGAATCTTAGCTGCACCGCTTTAACCAGACGAAGCGGGCATTGGGCAGCCTTCTGGGGGGGCATCGACGAATGCTGGTGGCTGGCAGTTTTGCCGCGAACCCGTCATTGCCAGAGCATTCCCGTTCTCCCCCCCGACGGGTCCCGTGGACTCTTTTCGTGTTCGATCTCCGGCCTCTTTTTGGCCCCCTCCCGGGCCCCAGGGCCGTCAGACAACGATTCGAGACAAGTCGTCGGTCCGGGGAAAGGCCTTGCCGTCCACCATCTTCGGGGGGGGAGGGGTACGAACAGGCGTGGGACGACAAACGGAGGTTGGATATCATGATCAGGGCCATGATAGAGCTCCAAGATTGCATGGCCCCCGCCGCTTCTATTGATGCGCCTGGCCCCTTCCTCGTCCGCACACACGCCTCGGGCCACGATGCGCTAGCCGCGCTGTTCCTGGACCCTCTTTCGGAGGAAGGAGAAGCGACACGACCACCACCAGGGCCCGGGGCACTTCCACGGGGGCCACCTCCAGCGAGGATGTCAACGATGCCTGCCCGAGCGGGGGATCAGAGACGTCTCGAACGACAAAGGTGGGACCACACCACCATGAGGAGCCTCCCTGGCGCTTTTTGCACTGGTGGTGGTGGTGGTGGTGGTGGTGGTGGTGGTGGTGGTGGTGGTGTCGCCTGCTCGTGCTTCTGCGTCCTGGCCCCTCTCTTCGGCGCAAGACTCGCGCGCAGCTCCAGGCAGCTCGTGCTGGGCCCGTGGGCGGCGCCCGCGCGGCTCCCAGGCAGCGATTTCATTTGGCGCGGGCGTCGGCGGCTCTTGGCCAGCGCATCCCCCGCCCGCGCGCAGCCCCCTCGGCCTCTGCGCCGCGTGCGCCTGCGTCGATGTCGAGGCCTCCGCGCGGGAGGGTTCGACGTCTCGCCCGCAGGCTGGCACAGCCCCTGCTGCAGACGCGCCGGCTTGGAGCGGGTAGGAACGCCGCGCTGCAGGCGACGCATCGAGGACACTCGGGCGCCGCGGCGCTGCCCGCCCAGCCCCCGGGGGGCCGCACTCGGCTCGCAGCGGCGTGCGCCCGTCCGTGCGCCCCCCCCCTCCCCCGTGCGGGCAGGAGGCGGAGACGCCGGAGGCGCTGCAGGCGCCGGCGGCGCGGAGGAGCGGGCCGCGGCCGCTCGCGCGGGCCGAGCTGGCCGCGGGGGCGCCCGGGGCTTCGGGCCGCAAGAGCGGCCCTTCGCGGGAGTGGCCTTTGGTCGCGCTCGGGTTCAACGAGGGGGGGGGTCGCACCTAGCGAGATGCACAGCACCCGAGGGGCGTGCGAGATCTGCTCAGACACACCTCCCAGCGCGGCGGAGGCGCGATGGCGGCTGCAGAAGGCGTCGTTCGTGTTGTGCCTCGCTCGCCCTGTCTCGGCTGGGAGAGTCCTTCCTCGTGGGCGAACTGCAGAAATCAGCTGGGGAGTCCTTCTTCGTGGGCGACGCACAAGCCTGTGCGGCAAGGAATGTTTGCCGAAGGCGTCTCAGAGGTGGATTGGCGGACCCCTCGTAGGCCGTGCCCCTGGGCCGCGACCCCGCGGATGAGGTGCGGTGTTTGCTCACGGGCGCACCGCGCGGAACGTGCAGTGAGGGCCCACGCCAAGGAACACCCTGCTCGCCTCCAGGGTGCCCTGGGTCTCTTGGATTTCGATGGTCTTGCTGTGGAAGGCGTGGCGTTCCCACACCAGAAATCAACGGACGTCCTGGGGTCTCAGGGTTGGGCTTCTTGTGGACTCGCCTCCACTGTATCCTTACGGCCGCGTCTCCGCGGCATCGCGCCCCGGAGTCCAGACCGCGAGGGCGTGGATCCTGGCATCGCTCGGACGTGTGCATGTTTCCTTCGGCGAGGACCATCGCGGAGCATCCTTGATCATTTGCCGAAAAAACCACGCACGAAACCGAAAAAAACACAGGGAATGGACGTCCGAGCGATGGCCAGGGATGTGCATGCGCTCGCCGCTCGTGGTTTTTGGGCGGGCCCACGCTCGGAGGAGGAAGAGGAGCCGATCACCCTGCCCTGCCCTGCCCGTCCCCTCGTCTTCTCCCCTCTGTGGCCTCCTGAGGTGGCCTCGTCCGCCGTCGCCAGGGCCGGACCCTCCTCGAAAGCCTGGCCGGAGCGGGCCCCATGAGAGGTCTGGGGAGCAGCGGCAAGTCAGGCATGTCCCCCTACGGGAGGAAAGTCCAAAATATAGCCCCCACAAAACTCAGGGGACGATGTCCTGACCATGTTTGACCATGTTCGAACATGTTTTGAGCATTTCTCACTTAACTTCCAAAATCCGCCTGTAGGAGGACATGCCCGACCTCAGTGTAGCGGTATATCGACGCCTCGCCCCCCAAGCTAGCCGATCGAGCTGGGTCGCGCGAGTGACCCTCCGCCGGGGCTGCCCCTTGGCCAGGCAGGCCCACGCCGTGCCTCCGAGGCTACTCTTGCCTCGCGTGGGGTCGGCCGGTGGCTGGGCGAAGACGTAGCTTGACTTCTCGGGTTGGCCCACAAGGAGGAGGAGGAGGAGGAGGAGGAGGAGGAGGAGGAGGAGGAGGAGGGGGAGGGGGAGGAGGGAGAGGGATAAGGCCAGGAGGAGGAGGAGGAGGAGGAGAGAGGAGGCGGAGGGGAGGAGGGAGGGGGAGGGGAAAGGAGGAGGAGGCAGTAGGGAGGAGGAGAAGGAGGAGGAGGAGGAGGGGTCCAGCGACAAGGGGGTGGTGCAATAGATTTGGTGCAATAGGTCTGTGGGGCTGCAATACATCTGGGGCGTGCAATAACTTTTGGGGCGCAAATGTATTGCTGGATTTCGCGTGCAATACATTACTTGCAATACAATGCAAAACAATTTTCCGGCGCAGTAAACTTGCAATACAATTACCCCAAATCTATTGCACCACCCCCTTTCAGCTGGACCCCCTTTTGGGTGTGCTTGAACTTCGTGGTTCACCTACACGTAAGAGTGACCTTTCGCCGGAGTGACCTTTTGTGCGGGCACATTGGGTTCCCCCGATCGCCGAACGCGAAGCGATAGCAGCGTCGTGCGCGCTCGTGTTTGGTTCCCCCCCTGCGGCCACCCAAAAGCCGCGCACCAAAGGTCACCCTTACCCAGGGTCACTCTTGCGTGTACCCGAGTGGAGCAAGCAGGCTGCATCAACAGACGTAAACACTTGGGCTTCCGTCATTTTTTTTTGTTCTGGGATTGCTGCAGGACTCCCCTGGCGGCGCGCTCCACGCGCCAGGGGAAGCCAATGCTGCTGAAGATCTTGCTGTGGAAAGGCGTGGGATCACTGACATGGTACAGTCGGGGCGCTGAAGAAGGAGCCCCTTTTCGTGTGGGAGGGGCTCCGTTTTCCTTGGTTGTTATTCAGTTCGCCTCGGTGTTTCCTCAGGTTTTCCGACGGGAAATCGGAGCTCAAGTCATGGAAGCAAGGGGCCTCGCCCCTTCTCTGGGGCTCCTTGGGTCAATGGCCCGACTGCACGTCCACGGAGTCCCGTGGAACCCGTGCGGGCCATCCCCCCTCTTCCTCCTCCTCCTCCTCCTCCTGCCTCCTCCTCCTCCTCATCCTTCATCCTCCTCCTCCTCCTCCTCTGCTCCTCCTGCGCCTCCTCCCTGCCTCCTCCTGCCTCTCTGCCTCCTCCTTCATCCTCCTGCAATCCCGCTGCCATCACTCCTGGCCTCTTCCCGTCTGTCGTTCCTCCTCCCTCCTCCTGCCTCTCCTCCTGCCTTCTTTCCACGCCCCTCCTGCTCATCCTGCTCCTGCTCCTCCTCCTGCTCCTCCTGCTCCTCCTCCTGCTCCTCCTGCTGCTCCTCCTCCTCCTCCTCCTCCTCCTCCTCCTCCTCCTCCTCCTCCTCCTCCTCCGGCGGCTCGGCGGCGGGCCTCCGGCCGCCACGCCCGCGGGGGGCCCCGCCCCCGGGCCCGCACGGAGGGCCCAGCTCGTCCCGCGGGCCCCGCCCGCAGCGGCCCCGCCCCGCCTAGGAGGAGTCGGCTTGCAGGGGGGGGTCGGGCGCGGGGGGGGCGCCAACGACCCCGCCGATTCCAGCGTGGTCCGCGGCCCCTCTCCAGGACTGTCGGAACTCCTCTGGGCCTCTTCAGCCTCGCAGTCAGCGCCAGCGCCGTGCCGCCCGCGAGCGTCAGCGAGGGAATGTCCCTGCGGGGCCCCCGCCGGGGAATCTCCCGATGGGGCCCGGGGCTCGGCCAGCAGCGAGGGGTCGACAGTCCTCAAGAGGAGAAGAAACACACAGACACAATTGGTCGTCGATTCCCCAGAACATGCGGGAAAATATGGGCAGTGGGGGGGAGGACAGAAACCCAGAGACTATGGGAAAATGTGGGGGTCCTTTTATTTGCGTGTATTTATTTGTGTGTCCCAGTGCCCCTTCAAGTCCGCACCTCCCAAAAGGCCTTCGGCAAGCCCGCCAAGTCCCTGTCCCCCCTCCCTGCCGGCACGGCTTCGGTCCTGGAGGTACGGTGGAGGCCCGACCACGAGGATCCCTCCAGAAGCCCAACCCTGAAACCCCGGGATGTGCATGGATTGTTTTGGTGTGGGAACGCCACGCCTGCCACAGCAAGACCATGGTAACCCATGGGGTCTGGGGCTCGGCCATCAGCGATAGGTCGACAGGGTACAGTGTCGGGACCTCGCAAATGGTTAAGATGTGCCAACCTACTTTGGCCTGGATCACCCAAAATAATTTGGGTGGAGGGCAAAGGACGAAATCTGAAATGCCGCTTCGATTGGTCTTCGAGGCTTGAATCTGCAAGGGGTGAATCACAAGACGGATTGATTTTCGAGGTGCAAATGCCCCTGTGGATTTCATCCTGAGCCCTCCACCTTAAGAAAATGCTCAGAGGGTACAGTGGAGGCCCATGCCAGCGTCGGGACCTCGCAAAGGGTTACGACGTGCCAACCTACTTTAGCCTTGATCACCCAAAACGACTTCGAGCCCACCCCCAAAAAAGTACCGGCGCTCGGGGGTTTTCACGTGCCAGGCCCTGGGAGGCGCTCGTCCGACAGTCGTTCGACACTGTTTCGACACTCTTTTGACACTTTTCCGGGTGCTCGAAATTATGAATCGCTTCGCTCATTCCGCCGGCCCGTGATATGGCATCGCTGGTTTTTGTCTGTGTGTTCGTTGCCCATGTTGCGCTTTATTTTTTTTTTTTTTTTTTTTTTTTTTCTTTTCCTTCTTGGGGGAGATCTTTGTTTTTTATTTTTTTTTTTTTTTTTTTTTTGTTTTTTCATTCTTTTTTTTTTTTTTTTTTTTTTTTTTTTTTTTTTCTTTTCCTTTTTTTTTTTTTTCGTTTTTTTTTTTTTCTTTCTTCTTTTTTCTTTTTTTTTTTTTTTATTTTTTTTCTTGTTTCTTTTCTCTTTTCTTTTTTTTTTTTATTTTCTTCTTTTTTTCTTTCTTTTTTTTTTTTTCTTGGGGCGGGGTCGTTCGGACGCGTTGCGTGGGGAGTTTTGATGGTGAAGCAGTTCCCTGGGGGTCGTCTCTCGATTGGGCGAAATAGAGTCGTCGTCAAGATGCTTCTTTGGGGGGCCTCTTGGGGTCTGTTGAGAGGCCGTTCGGGGGCGCCTGGGAGACATGTTTGAAGCCTTCTGGGGCTTATTTTGGGCCTCCTGGGAGTCTCCTGGGGCCTCTTGGCGACATCTTGGGGCCTCTTGGAGGCCTCTTGGGGCCTCTTTGGGACCTCCTGGGCGCCTTCTGGGACGGAGGGCTCCATTTTTGAGTTCTCGGTATCTCTCCTGAGTCCCTCTTGGGCCCGTCTTGGGGCCTCTTGGTCCGTCTTGGGCGGCACTTGGGCCGTCTTGAGGGCTCTCTTGGGTCGTTTCGGCGCCGTCTTGGGAGTTTCGTGGGCCGTCTTGGAGCGGTCTTGGGGGCCTCTTGGGCCGTCTTGGAGCGTCCGGAAGCCGAAAAAGCCAGAACACAAAAAACATCGAAAAAACCAATGAAAATCAACGATTTTGGCCTCTTGGGGCTCTCTTCGGAGGCCTCTTGGAAGGCTCTTGGGGCGTCTTGGAGGCCTCTTGGGCTGTCTTGGGGGCCTTTTGGGCCGTCTTGGGGTCATCTTCGGCGTCTTCGAGCGCTCTTTGGGCGTCTCGGGGGCCTCTTGGGCAGTCTTGGGGGCCTCTTGGGGCAC